TACTACTACCCACACTGTTAGGTTTTAAAACTGATTTTTTTTCACAAGCAACTTGAGAGGTAACTTTCATATTAGGACTGTCAGCATTACCATGTTTATCCTGATCAATTCAGGCCCGAAATTATTGTTTTAATTTTCTTTTGAAGTTTGTTTGTTGTCTTTTGATCACATTGATTTTTTTAAATGATGAAAGAATGGAATTCATTGCGATTTACTTGAAATTGAGCGATTTAAACAAAAAATGTGTTGTTTGACAGCCCTATTAAATCTCTTTAACAGTGGCCATCTGAGAGCCTGATAAAACTGGAACTAGAGAATAATTGTGAATTTTGACTCAATAATAATCAATTTTTCAAATGATTTTTGATTAGTTTCAGTCTCTTGTTCCAAAGTTGTTGTCCAAATATTGAATGTCTCGTCATCTGTTGTTTTCCTGTTTTGCTCTCAAAATAATTGATTACATCTTTTAATTAAAAAAACTGTTCAGTTCATAGAGGGGAGGATAGAAAATTGAAACCAGAATTTTTCTGGGCTTTTGCTTTAAAAGACAAATCATTTATCGGTTGAGACTGGGGAAGTGTCAGACGATGCTTTCACTGTCTGTTTGGAAAAAATCAAAACATTCCTCACCAGTTCTACAGAATGCTGGAAATTTACAAACTTCTTCTGGGACAAAAGAAGCCATGTTTGAAGTCGAGAAAACATTCTTCATTCACGTTTCTGTTGTTTTTTTTTGCTGATAGTGACTCTGCTCTGTGATGCTGCCTCCACTTCAGGTGCTAAAACAAAAAAACAAAAAAACAGCACAGTTTCACCACCACAGGAAACTACACAAACACTCAAGGTGTGTGTAGTTAATATTTCCTGTTGTGAAAACACACTGCGCTCCTCTGTGAGCAGCTTTGCTTTCACCAAACATAACCAAAAACACACACAGAGATACATGTGAAGGATTTTCATTCATACATGTTCTCCTGTGACGCTCCCAGCAGCACCGTGCTCTACTCACTCTGACTCCGCCCACCGTGTTCTCTCCTGTTTGGTCATGATCAGGATGCTTCTATAAACACCAAAACAGAAACAATTTTACTTGTAACCCTTAATATTCTTGATTTTTAGGTTTGTAACTCACCTGCTGTGACCACATAATGATCTCTTTGTGTTGTTATCATTCCTGACAGTATCAAGGTAATCCACTCCCTGTTTGTTCATGTGGATACCACTGCATGGTTCAAAGTTATACCTCTTTATATATATATCTCAGTAACAAAAAACAACAGTGTTGTTTAAGCAGAGAGTGTGTTGTTAATCAAAATAGAAAATGTATTGATTTATGGTATACTTTTGAAATCTGAAGCAGAAAGTGACGCCTTCAAAATGCGCTTTGCTCTGATTTGTCGTTTAAAAACCTCAGAGGATAGTTTAAAGTCATTAAGAACACAGAAGAGCCAGCAGACCGAGTAGAGCACAGTGAAACTCTTTAACATGTTAAATATTCCTGAGGTGTTAATTGTTTGAGTCCCCCTGTGCCCCCCCCCTCCCCTCCCCCCTCTCTGCTGTGCCTTCAGTCCTGAACACCCACCCATTTATCCTCTCTGTGCATCAGATGTCTGATTCTAACCTTTGCATGATGTTTTCCTAAACAAAAACATTTTCATATCTGTTTGGTGCTGCGTTCAGGAGACCTCTGAATTTTCTGTACTGCCTCCTCCTCATGGCATCCAATCACATTGATGTCATCTTGATTCCTCGTGTGAAATAAGCCTTTTGATAACGTACCAACAATCACCCTTTGACTCTTTCTGTGACTTTTGGTGCTTTGAAAAATACCACAGACTCAACTTGAAGCAATACCAGCCTCTTTTTCTCTTCTCCTGTTCGAGCTCCACCTTTCTTACCTTTCACCTGTAATTTATCTCACACTTCAGAGGGACGTCTCATGCTGCTGTGATGTCTGTAGTTGATGATTTAAGACTTAACGGTCTCTCAAACCTGGTGCTTCTCTCACAGGGTTCCTGCATGTGTTGGAAAATCAACTCTGGGTATTTTCCACACATGTTCAGCGACATCTTTGTGCATAAAAATTGCGAATACGGTGTTCTGACTACAAGTAGTGACTCAAACATGTGAATATTTCCAACAGGAATGTGTTTATTGTTTCCTTAACCTTCACTTCAATTTGAATCAAGCCTCCAATATGAATTGATTTCTCATGCGTTTCATTAAGCAGGATGATAAAGAACCAGTATTTTTACAGCCCAGAGCCACTATGGTTCCTGTTGTTGTGTATTTGATAATTAGGGTTGTGAAAAAGGAAAAAAAAGAGCCAATTAGACACAAAAACAAACTTTTGAAGGATCTACAAGTTCCTGAAAGTGTTCCTATTCATTTAAAACACCATTAAGTGTTGAAACCATCTTCTAAATCTCTGACTTTGATTCTCAAAACACTTGTAATGTAACCCGGCCGTTTGCCGAAGTCTAAACTGCAGGCTATTTATTGTTGCAGACGTCAGACTGCGTTCAAGTTTTCCCCTTTTTGTCAAACCAGGACCACTTTTTCCTCCGATGACACAGGTGCTGATTTTTGTAATGTTTACAGGGATTTTGTTGTTCAAAGTGATGCAGATTAAAATATTATAAATGTTTTTTGTGTTGTCTTTGTATTCTTTGAATGTTTGCCAGATTCAGGCTGCCTTGTCAGGGCGTGATATTTACGTCCCTGTGACGTTTCTCCTTCAGAGAGGGGTCATGGTGGTACGAGGTGAACCCCACTCTGTGCCGCCTATGGAGTTAGTAACAGGTGTTACAGGGGCAAGACGGGATCAGCAGAGCGTGTGCGTGTGTGCGTGCGTGCGTGCGTGGGGCTATGCCCTGTGCTTTTGTACTTCTGCACCGCTGTAACCATATGAATTCACAGACTGGGACACCAATATTATGCTATTGTAAGATGGAGATGAGATTCATTTTTGTGAAGTTTTATTTTATAGATCTTTATTTTTCTTAGGTTGAGATAATATACATTATTTGATTTAATGCTCATTTCATTTATATTTACAATTTGTACTGTACAAGAGTATCTGTTTGATATGATGCACTATGCCTTTAAGGTTACCCATGGTTACGGTTTGAGGAGTGATATTGCTTTAAGACAAGTGAGGTGTCGCTGTTGTTGTTGGGCAGTCTTGATATGTTATGCTTTGTTATGGACGGACATTAAAAAGTATGAGACGCACGGCACAAGTTGTTCCCGTGCTTTTACTTACCCACACCCGAATATATATATTCAATTAAGTATGTTTAGTATTATAGTTAACGGCAAGACAACCGAGGATAATCAACATCATCCAAGAAGCGCCGTTACACTATTGCGGAATCGATATGAATGTCTACAGGCGTAGAAACAGATGGCCTTCATTAAGGTGCTGTAGCGCAATTGCACTCTGAAAAGGGCTTCTGAGTGTCCTTGTGAAGACCTCTTTGTTTATTTTATTTATAAAGGACACATTTGTTGACTATATTTTGACGTGGAAAAAGATAAAGAGGCCTTCGTTTGGACACTTTCTGTCTTCAAATCTGTTGTAACAACGATAACCACAGCTGTACTCTGCTGAGAGTCGCCTGTTATCACGGTCACTCTTCACACCGTAACACAGGACAACATAAACATAGAGTTTCTTATCTAACAGCTCCTACACGTTTTCAACTGATTCTAATTAAAGATGGTCTTGTGGTTTTCTTGAAAATAATACCTCTTATAATTTTACAGGCTTCATATTGTAACATTGGGTTTCGTTTTATGATCGTTTTGTGGCTCTGATATCAGCCAGCAGGTTGGGCTAAACCTCCTTCAGGTTTTCTCTTATGTTCTGGTCAAAAACACATCAGGGAGATTCCCCGAAGCACACATACTTCAGAAAGTCTCATCAACAGGAAGCCCAGTTTGACTAACCTACAGCACACAACTGTCAGGCAAACACAAATGTATGATTGGTGATGATGATAAAACATACAACACAGCTTCGCACCGTCAGTGCCATATAATAGAGGGCACTGAGTACCGTTATTGAGATTTTTTATAAATGATTTTTTATAAATCTGTATGTTGTAAATATTTATGGATGAAGCCAGAGTGACGTCAGCCATCTGGCAGAGGGTCCAGAGGCCGTCACCATGCTGGAAATCCCATTTCAACCTAAAGACAAGCTGAGAGGTGAGTCGGGTTTTAAGCCTCCTGACAAACATTACACAGCGCCCGTCTGTCAATTATGTCAGCTACCCTAACTATGGATGACTCCTATTGTCCTTGAAATGTAAATGGATGTGTGTGTATGTGCCTCCCTGTGGTTTCTCAGATTTTGAGAGCTTGTAATGCTGGTGCTCATGTAACAGGGTTATTGAAGATAATTGAAGTTCGTCGAAATGTATTTGTGTGTTCACTCAGACCCTTTCCGAATAGCTGAGTAGGTACTTGGCAATTCGGATTCAACCAATCTGTCAGTAGGCAGTACCTACTATCCGTGCTGCATACTGTTAGTACCTACTATTCAGTATGCAGCACAGTAGACAGTAGACTACTCATTTACGTTTCCCTAACCGGCCGCATCCACCCGTTTTTTTTGTTTAGCTTTATTCAAGAAGAGTAATGTTCATATACAGTCAGGTAAACAAAAAACAATATCACAATGTAAATCAAGTAAAAGACAGATTAAATAACTAAATAACATACAGTAGCCTACATAAAGGAAAGAACACATGAAAGACAGTAATATAAAGTAAAATAAACGAATAAAGACGCATTTAAATAGTGAAATCATTATTTAAATAGAGGGGGAAATGTTTTATAATAATGCAGACATTTGTTATATTTTCTGTTGTTAATTAAAAGTAGTGATTTCAGTCGGGACTTTAACTCTAGATTCAATTAATGAATCCACGCTCGTTTGTTTTGATTTGGAGGCAGATGTGAAGTGACGATTTACGTTTAATTTCGCACAGCATTGTAGTTGGTAATATACAACTCATTTCCTGAAAGCATGCATCCGATCTATACTGTATGAAACCAGGAAGTTAGTGTCCATACTGAAATGTTCAGTATACTGAGGTGGACCCAAAAAATGCATACTGAATGACCACTAAAGTTCAGTATACTGAAAAGTAGGTACTGCCTACTGACCTGTGACTATTCGGAAAGGGACTTGGAAACTCAGAGAATCTTCAGTAGCCCGAGTTCAGACCAGATCCAAATATAAATTGTGCTGTAACTGTACGAACTGTCACCGGTATCCACAGACTGCGCTGATAGGGATTAGCTCTAAAATGGACCCAAAAAATCCACAAGAGGAGTCAACACAGTGATCCAAAGAGGGACCTTGAGACCATCTTACCAGGTAAATGGACATTGATAACATCACTCTCACACACACAAAGCCTGTCAAAACCGTAAAAACTCTCACTGTGGGAAATGACGAAAACAGGTTGTTTTTTTTGTACAAAAATTATTTAATGTAGGCTATTGTGATTAAATATACCGGCGGACACAGCTTCATGAGAATGTCATGAGTCATGTTGTTGAATTGAAATCTTGTTCCGGGTTTATATAATAAAAGAGGGAACAATTCATGCTCTGTTTTCTGAATTACCAAGATATCTCTGAATTATGTTCGGGGTATTTTGATTATTATTGTTTACATTCATATGAGTTATTTCCATTCGTTTATTTTGCTACTTGGGGCATAAGATGGAGTCTGTACATGGGTGTGTCTATATAGCCAGTTAGCCAGGTGAGACTGTTTCTTTACCAGGAAGCCAGGACCAACAGCAGATGACAGGATAAGAGAGACAGCAGCGTTTTTTGTTGTTTGTTGCCTGCTTGATGTCTCTGGATAAAATAAACCACCCTAAAACCTTCTATCATCATCTGGACAATGGACTTATTAATATATCCTGCGTAAGATTCGCCCTCTAGGTGCCTCAGTGGCTTTATTATGAGTTTGTGTGAAGTTTGTAATTTTTGTTATTTATAGACTATAGATATCGCCACTACAGGCATCATAGATGTATCATCTTAAATCGTTGAAGCAGTTCATACGACTCACACCAGAACGACTCCTCACTATTTCGCCTCTATGGTATGTTGAGACATGACAGGAGGATGTAACAACCCTTTGACTTCCACACTAAGAAATACATTTGCTAAAAATGATTATTATTTTATTCTTTATTATTTATCAGTCAGTCTAAGGGAGAACAACACAGAGAACATGGTCAGATATGGCCCTCCCATCAATTATCCGTCATGTCCTCGTTGCATACCCCTGCTTGTGCATGATCCACTGTGCTATAGTCCACGTCTTCCAACTGAGCCAGGGCCAAGGAAGTATACCGTGTCTGAGCAATGTAAGGAGCACTCACACTAGTCAAACAAACTGGACATTGGGGGTCAAACGGTACGGATTGCCTAGTGTAAGTGCGAACCTGATTGTATGTGGTATGTATCAATGTGGAACTGTGTTTCAAAGAGACATCCTTATACACTAAAAATAATGAACATGTCATTCTGTTCTTTATTTAAGGGCCTGGGACCAGATAAAGAAAACACAGCTGCAACATAAAGAAGATATTCAAGTTGAAAAAGAGAAGATGGAAGAAGAAAAAGCAGAAACGGCCATCACCTCCTCTGCTGGGAGTGAGGCCGGCAGCAGTGAGCAAACAGCTGAATCCTCACAGGTGGAGAAGATAGATTTAGACAGAAAATACCCATTATTAAATACAAGGTATCAAGAGTGGTTAAAGAATCTCAGACTTGACAAATATAGAGAAAGGGATTTGACCTCAACCCCGTTAAAGGCCATGTATCTTACACAAGTGAAAAGATCTGAGAGACAACTTGTCCAACCACTTCCTGTTCCTTCTCAAGAACCCACTAAAAAAATGGGCAGACATACAAGTCAACAATTACTTAGAGCAGGGCCCTCTGTTCAGCTTTCAAGCAGCTGGAGCCCTTTCAGCAGTCCTGAAACCAGAAATCAGAGGAGGGAGAAAATGTTATCCGAAATACACAATCAATTTATTGGTATGTCAGGAGGAGGACTGTTGCCTGACCACAGTAGAACACCGACATATCAACACCATCGTTTACATTTGCCTGTAGAAAGGTCAGATCCCTGCAACATAAGCCTTCCTGATTGTGGTTCATCCACGCCCCTCCGCTGGTTTTCATCTCCTCGGCTTGTTAGACCCTGGAATACGGTTGCAGATGACTCATTACCTACAGAGCAGGAACAGTTGAATAAAGACAAATCTGAGTCATTACACACAAATGAAGAAAGTCAAACTTCCATGTCAGACAGACACGCAACTAAAGATGAGAAGATTTTGGGACACAATAAACAAAGTCAACAATCAACTGAATCAGGCTCCTCTCTTGTGTTTGGCAGGAGCCAATGGGTGGAGAAAAGTAATCAGCAGACAGCATACTTTCCCTCACCTTACAATCAGTGTATTCTGAATCATCCATCACATTACTTGTCAGGAGGAGGATGTGTGATGTCAGGCTCACAGAACAAGTCTGCTCCAAGTCTTCCACATGACCACTCACATGAAACATCAGACCAATTTGTTTTCAAAAGTGTCTTCGCCATGCTTCCTCTCAAAAGATTTTCATTACAGTTAGAAAGTAAGCCTGTGGGTGATCATCATACACTCGAAGAGACGAGGCCTAGACGCTCTGCACTTGTTGATTCTGATCAGTGGCCCCGATCCACTCCGGTTCCTCCTACAGATTACTGTTCTTTTACTAGTTTGAACATGGAAGCCCAGGCCTTAGATCTCCAACAATCAAGTGACACTGAAGAAATTGGAGATCTATTTGAACGCTTGTCTTTCCAGTCTGAACATAAGTCAGGAAGGGACAGTGCTGCTCAGGAAGAGCTGGATGCAGCTGTTACAGCTGTGAGCTGCTCCGTCACAAACACCCAGCCAGCCCGTTCTCAGATACAAACCTGCTCCTCAGGTCCTGTTTTCAGAGCTTATGGATCCTTACCTCGTTCTTACAGCTTCCCCTCACTGAGTCACATGACCTCTGCAGACAACACCTTAACACGAGCTTGTAGTTTACCTGAGCTTTGGTTAGAAGCCAGCTGTGAGCAGTTTACACCTGATATCAGTGATGATGAAGACGATGAAACCTACAGGTTCCAGTGCTCCTGCCCGGGCCTGTACCAGTGCAGCGTGACTGGCCTGGTGTTCCACATGGAGCGTGAAGGGGACGTGGTCTACAGGACGGTCCCCTGGAACAGGAAGTTACTGTCCCAGCATCACAAGCAGCCTGCAGGACCGTTGTTCGACATCAAATGTGAGCAGCAGAGTGTGTGTCAGCTCCACCTCCCACACTGCCAGATCCGCTCCTCAGGCAGACCTCAGTTCTTGTTGGTGGCTCACGTGAATGAAGAGGATATCGAGTTCATTGTCCCTCATAAGATAACAGAAACTCACGTCATCATAAACATCTCAGGCTTTTCTGGTTTCGGTGTCGTCAAGGACGAAGACTCTCCACCTGACCCGGTCCGAGCGCTGGTTCTGCTGTTCTACAGGCCCCCGGCTAATCCCGATCCCAGCTCCCTCCTCAATGTGTTGTTGCTGCCGAGGAACGTGGTGCTCCGTGACGTGCTGCGCACCAGGAAGACGTTAGTTGGAGATGAGAGCTACATAGAGACGTCCCCACACTGTAAACTGCACCCACAGCAGGATTACACTCTGTCCACCTGTCCTGAAGACGACACTGTTCTAGTGGATCCAACAACAGCAGAGTTTGAATGTGACAACTATGACAACTACTTTCCATCATTCCAGGTGAATTTAGAGCAGACCATGAAACACATTACGCTGGTTTTGAGACATATTACCGACTCCTGCAGCATCTGGGAAAGACAAGTTTGTCTTTGGTCCTCTGGGTTAAACAGGTCCTGTGGGCCGAGCACCCTGAAACGGCCTGCAAACCAGAGGCTGTTTGCCATACGGTGCAGCTTCATTGAGGGGGTATCAGCACCTGTCCTCAAAAGTCTGCTGGACAAACTGTTTGAGGAAACGGTGATGAACGACTCTGAGCGGGAGTCAGCGGACGAGATGCAAAACAAAAGAGACAAAGCTCGCTCCGTAATCGACACGGTGAGGAAGAAAGGTGATGCTGCGAGTTCAAAGATGATTAAGGCTCTCTGTGACCTCGACCACTTCCTCTGTGAACACCTGGGACTGATCTGCAGCTGAATGAAGATGTTTGGTGTGGGACATGGAGACCCAGGGGTTACTAACTGATCTTTAAAAATATCTGTTGTAAGCTGAGTGCATCAGGTGTGTCATTTTAAAATCGCTGAATTCAGAAACGTTACAACTTGTCTTATTTTATATCACAAACTGTTTTTTTTTTTTTAAACTAATCAAGATGTTTCAGACTCCTTTGTTAATGCATTGTGATTGCTCAAGGATTTTTACTATGCAAAGTGCCATTTTTACATACATTGCTTTTCTTTCTTTCAATTACAGTATGTGTTTTTGTGTTATTGCTTTACTCATCAGGAAGAACCCCGTACCTTTAAATCATTCAAACAACATACAATTAAATCAGTTTGTCTTTTAAAGTTATGGAGGTTAAATAACTATGTTCAGGGAGCCTGTCATTCTTTTTTTTTTTTACAAAGTTTCAATAATTGTCAGATCATTATTCCACATGATAGAAGTGAAAATATGTTTTTCTTTTTGCTTTTAAGATCATGTTTTAAGCCTACTCATTTTCCCTTTAGCAGTCATTTTTTTAAATCATAATTGTTTATACCTTCAATCATAATATCTCTGTGGATCTCCAAACAAGGAATTTCTTTAATTGATTGTATATCTTAATGAGCCAGCAGGGGGAGCCATATGCTTGTTAATAAACCATATTGAAGAGTGGGGCTCAAGTTAATGTTGAACCGTACAATAATAGTATATATAATAATAATAATAATAATAATAGAACAGGAGGCTAATTCTTACATTTCAGACATGTACTGTATGTCATCAGTGAATTTTAACCAGCTTAAATCTGTGTTTTGTAAGTGCTTTTAGGATGATTGTTTACTAATAAAGAGTAAAAACCTATTCCACAATGAACTCCCCCAACCAAGTTCCCTCAAGTGGCATTTTTGTATTTTGTTTGTATTTTATTCAATCAATCAATAAATCAACACATTTTTTATTTGTATTTAAGTGGCAATTTATAACACATGTTATCTCAAGACACTTTACAAAAAGCAGTAAAGCACCTTACTCTTTGTTATTTAATATTACAAACAAGCAGAAAAAAAAAGAAAGAAAAATCGTATCTATCTATTTAACAGGAACACAAACATTGTTTCATATGTAAAATACAAAGTAGACCCCATGCATATATGTTTCTAACCATGGCTAATTTGCAACCACTGTCCCAGAATAGGCTTTTAGGAACAAAACAGAAGCATTAGATTTAACAAAAATAGTGGTACAATGCAAATAAGTGACTAAACTAAGGACAAATAGTAAAATAAGTAGTCTATAATAAGAGGGAACATAGTCAATGCTCACAGACTGGGTTGTAAGATTGCCAAAACAAAATAGTTGTATTTGGCTAAATTTAATTGAATAAGATTTAATATGTCATCATGTTATTATTGACACTATTTGACTGTATATAGGCCTAGAGGAACTTATACCCCTAAAACAGAGATATGCTACCCCTCCTTAGGGCAGATCAAAACAAATCCCGTTTGTTTTTCAAAACATAGTTTATATAGTTTATGAAATTGATGGTTGTACAAAATGTTTTAGAATAAAATAACTATTTTGGTAGTTGTTCTTTTATCAAACAAAAAAAAATACATTTATTTATAGAACTCCGGGTTTGGGTTTCTCCAAATCTAAATCATCTTTGGGTACTTGGACTTTTCCTTTTTTTGTTTTTTCCATGTTAACTGCATTTCCGGTTCTTCGCGCTGATTTCCGGTTTCCTCCTCGCTAACTGCCGTTCACTTGACGCTCATGAAGCGCTCTTTTCCCAGCGCAGCATCCAGACTTCAGACCGGACGGTGAGCCGCTGGGTGACAGAGCAGAGCCGTCGTCTCTCTCACAGATTCTCCGTTTGGCTGTAAAAGGTCTCTCTGTGTGGATTATTTTAACACCATCTCCGTGTAACGAGCGGATTCCAGGCGTCAGAGGAGCTCAGAGGAGGTTTTTGGAGCATGAACCCTCCGTGTGCCCGCTGCGGGAAGATCGTCTACCCGACGGAGAAAGTCAGCTGCCTGGACAAGGTGAGCACTTTGAGAGATGGTCGAAGTGACCCTCAGTCACTCTGGACTTCTCATGTTCTGGAAACTTCCTCTGATAACAATACAATTATTTTTACACCTTGAGGTAAGGTTGTCAAAATGTTCGATACTTCCATAGACTACTTTTCAATACCACCTGTTTTTTTATGGATAGGTTTTTTTCTCAGTATCATCGAAATTAAGCTATTGATTTTTTTTTACTTTCTTTTTGTTTGAATCAGCAAATTATCGTTTTCCTTTGCATTCACTACTTTACAGACTTTTCTTGATTCACTGTGAATTATTTGTTTATTGTTTGTCCTGCTTCAGATGGGAATTAGGAAAGGCCTGAGGGTCAATGTTGCTTTTCCAAAATTTTATTTTTTAAATCATTCATCTGCTAAAACTTATGAACCAGAGCTTATTCTTGTAAATGGTAAATGGTTAATGGACTTGAGCTTGTCTAGCTCTTTTCTTGTCTTCTGACTGCTCAAAGCGCTTTACCGCATGTCAATCACACCCTGATGGCCATCAGAAGTAACTAATCCCATTCAACGCATTCATGTACCGCTGGTGAAGCAGCGGGAAAATTAAGGGTTGAATGTCTTGCCCAAGGACACATTGGACATGTTGCTGCAGGAGCTGGGCATAGAAACCTGGACCTTCCCGGTTGAGAGACATTGACTGAGCCGCAGCTTCCCTACCCACCCTTGTGAGGTCCAAACATCAAGGGAAGAGATAAAGAAGGATGGAGAGGGCCGAGGTCCTACGTTTTTAATTTTTTTTTTTAACAATTTATCGCCCAAATATAGTTAAACATTTGAAAGTGAGTGTTTGCCCCTAGTGTTTTGTGTTCATTGATCTCGTCCCAATAAGTTCAAATAACCTGTCCGTTCCAGAAAATATGAACGTGATTGGCTCCATTAGTCCCACGCAGTCTCCATCAAGCATCACCACCACCCTGATGTCTTTTCTGGATAAGTATAACAAAATCTCACAATGATTTTCCAGCCGAACTCAAGCCATAATATACGCTCGACCCTATTGAGATCTGATATCGATGGATTTTTATGTGAATATAAATCAAACAATCTTTGTCTGTGTAGCTCCAATCCACAACACATTTGATCTCAAGACAGGTTACAAAAAGAGCAGCAGGTCTAGACCATACTCTTTGTTATAATAAAGACCCTACATTAATCCATCATGAGCACAGCACTATAAGCTACATAAATTACATAAGTTACAGTGGCACAAAAAAAACTGCCTTTAAAGGGGACATATTATGAAAAAGAAAGTTTGTAATGCCACTTTGCAAAAAAAACAAACTATAATTGCGCTTTCTTTCAATAAAATACTTCAGTTATACACCAATAACGCTGTCATCTTCAAAGAGTTATTGTTCTAAATTAATTTACAAACGCCTGTGAAATATGCTAACTTAGTAATGATGATATAATAATATAAATAGGGACACATATTTAATCATAACTTTGTTTTAGTCTGGTAACACCTGGGATAGTCTGTTGCATAACGGTGATGAATTATTCATTTCTCTTCAGCGGTCTCATGCGTTCTCTGTCTGTCGTATGAAGCATCAGGTGACACGACAGCATGGAGGCAGTGCACATGATATGAAGGACTCCAGTTTCACAGAGCTGTAATCAAAACTGTTTTGATGATTCATTTCAACGAAACATCAAACTTCATCATCTCTCTAAAACATGTCAGACATGAGGCGGATCCGTCTTATCAAACCCCTCAAAAGGGACTACGTTTACCTTCTGTGCTGTCCTGTAAAATGGGACGTGCCTCGTTTGAAGCACGAATAAGTCGATAAAACATAAAATTAATGTTCGAGGACGTGATCTAGAGAGGAGGAGGCTGCCAGAGAAAGTGAGGAGAAAGTGAGAAAAAGAGTGTGAGGGCGAGAGAGAGAAGTACACTGACCATCCAAGGACTTCAGAGCTCCTGCTGTCTCTTACAAAAGCTCATTTCATCAGGACTTCTGCAAGACAAAATGCATCTTCTTTCTGACCTGCAAACATAACAGAACACAAATTTAATGTGTGAATAAAAGCTAATAAGATTTAAGTTTTACTTGACCAAATTTGTTAGTTACTCGCTAAAAGTTCCTGAAGTTTTTTTTGCTGTTAAAAGGAGACTTTGTGTTGGAGGAGAAATGTTTGATCAGAGTTGCAGCAGTTCCTGTTATTCCCTTGATGAAGTCATCAAACGTGTTCATACATTCACAGTTTTCTCCTCCAGTCTTCACCCGGTGCATAGAGAAACAAGTAAGGAAGTGATGCTCATCAACGAGGAATCTGCAAGGCCGTTTGAAGTTCTGCGATCTTTGAACAATGTCTGAGATGTTATTCTTAGGAATGAAATAAACGTCTCGCCCAGAGTCTGAAAGTCGGGAACGAGCGGTGAGGAAACACCGAAACAGATGAAAGGAATACAAAAACTGTATGATATAGGAATTCAAGAAGTTTGGCCTGCAAAAGAGTTCAACAGAAGATAACTATATGCAAGATAGAAGCTTCACAAGGTGACTGACACTTGAGGAAACAAAAAATGTCTTTGCCAAATCAAATAACACTCAAAGGGAAACAGTGATGTACATGAATTTCGGAATATATATCAAGCAAAACTATCTGTGAAAGGAGATCCGTCTAGAACTGAACTACTGAGAGGCTTGATACTGGAGGGATCCGGCTGATGTGCCTTATGGCATGCAGGTTATAGCCAGACAGGATTGCACTAAAGACATTTTATTTTAAGCTCTCTTAGTCTCCTCATTTTCACCTTTCATGTTGTCAGTCTGTGAACCCCATAGAGAGTCTTTCCATGATTTGCAGCTGAAAAAACTCTTTATTTCTCTTGCTGCCGTTCGTAAAAATCCCGCATTTCAGCCTCTTCCTGAAACGGTCAGCTGCTGTCTCTTTAAGGCCCCCCTCTTCCCCACTTGACCACTCTCTTTTGATTGGCCTGCTCTCTGGAAGTCTTCTGGAGGCAGAACGCTGCAGGGCTGTCAGAGGAGGGCTGCTGCGAGAAAAGAGCCGACGCAACAGGTTTCTAAATGCCAGCGTAGAGGGTTGAAGCCATCTTGTTGAATTCTTGCTTTCATATCAGGGAACTACCGTTTAGCGCCCCTCTGCAGGGATTACACCAACACATGTTTAGGTCATGAGCTGAAAGCTTGCCCACATTTAGTTTGTGCATCCAGCACTCATTTCCGAATGCAACGACATGGACAATTTCCACAACAGTAAAAGCAATTACATAAAACTCCCAACTTATGATGAAATACACGTCGTGCCTTGGGGCCCAAAACCATTTGCCCTTCCGGGATCACACACCTGACTTGGACAGAGAATCCATAACATGTATAACCGAGCTGTCATGGAAGTGCCACCCACCGTCAGTACGAAACTACAGTTAAAGGGTCATTTCAGAGACCCTAATATTTGAGCTCTTATCTAAGCCCTTAATGGACTCACCTATTTGTGAGTTAATGTTATACTCTCTGTCTCTCTCTGTCGCCTGCAGAACTGGCATAAAGGATGTTTCCACTGTGAGGTTTGCAAGATGACACTGAACATGAAGAACTACAAAGGCTACGACAAGAAACCCTACTGCAACGCGTAAGTCCTTCTCCTCTCTCTCTCTCACGCGCTCACATTCTCACAATAACATCACACACCCCCTGGTGTTTGCATCGTATCGGTCGTTCCAAGTCCTTCCTCTTTTGCTGGAACACAATGAGACCTGATCTTGAAGAAATATGTACTCTTGTAAATGGTGAGAGACAAAGAACTCTTTGAACTGAGCCATTAACTACACAAATCAAGTTTGTCAAAATACATCAGCACAAAAACACTCTCCTTTCCTGTCAAGTTAAGTATAAAAAGAGTTCAGTTACTGTAGTTTGCGTGAAATTTTCAGGTAAAGTCAATCTGATCGCACAGATTCAGAATAGACAAGTTAAGTCCCACCCCTCCCAGGGGGCATTGAGGGATCATGACTCTTTGTATAACATCAGGGTGCATCATAAAACCTTTAACCTTTCACTTTGTATTTTCAAAGCCGTGTACTTCAGTAGTTTTATGACACACAGATGACATCTATTATTTGTCTGTCTCTTTTCCAAAGTGAGGTCCTCTGCGGCCCACAGGAAGGAGACAGACACCGCCTCTTTACGCTCTGTTGTGATCTTATTATAACAGCTGTAATGTACATACAATGAACTTATTGTTTCCTTCTGCTGAAGTTCAGCCAAAGTGTTTTATCATCTCTGTATGAACCCTCTCAGAACATGAACACCATCCTCTGGCTGTGTCTGCTGTGTGATTATCTACATCTGTGTCCTGCCCGCAGGCTGCTCGTATCTGTGAGGCGACCCTTCAGGTTTTTTATAGCAGCGATGGTTGGATGGTTGCAGTTCGTGGTTGTTTTCGGTGGTTTTGGTTGTGAGCCCAGCCCTGCTTCTCTGCCTTCACTGCTGCTGGTTCTGTTTACTGTGTGTGTTTCTCTGAACTCTGAACATGCTCAGTTTGTTATTATCAGTACGACAGGATTCACCACACCGCCTTTTATCAGCCCCACCCAAAAAATGATGTAGTTTGCGATGGCCTTAAAGGCAAAAACAAGATACAAATCCTCAAAGGAGGCTTCAGTTGTATCTGTGTTTGACAATTGTTGATCTGAAATGATAGTTTGTGCCTAAAGCTTTGTGTCAGTGTGTTACAGCTACATGGGAATGCTGAAGCTGTGACCTTTGACCTTGTCACTTTTGGTTGCTTGAAATGATAAAGGATGTGAGTTGAAGCTTATAATTGACTCTATTTTGTGCCTCATGTTTCTCATCTATATCTACACGCGTTTAGGCCTGCACGCTCTGAGAAGTGTATGTGATGTGCAATATACAATTTAGTTGTGAAATGTGATAAATAAACAGAAAATAAAGAGTGCAGATTAGCTTTAACTCACAGTTTGAATCTCTACCTGCTGTTAGTCATGCTTTATACAGTACCTGCATTTGCAACATGTTTCTTCTTATTCCAAAATAAATCCAGAGCTGTTTTTCCCTCACCTATAACTTGGCACAATTGAATCTGAGTGTAGCTGATGCCTAGCTTAGTTTCATTTGACTTTTTGCCTTTATTTGATAGGACAGTGGATAGAGTAGGAGACAAGGGAGCGAGAGAGTGGGGAATGACATGCAGGAAAGGAGCTACTTTAACCTAGGATATATATCACGACACAGACATTCTGCAATCATTTGCAATATAATCCTAAAATGAGACATCACAATATCTGATACCCAAGAATATAAAATGCCCTTAAAAAGTGAAGGTAAACAAGTAGCCATGTGCAGTAACATAGAAAATTGAGGATGCAACCAAATGTGACGCATCGTGAGATTGAATGGAACGAAATCGTTGACGGGATAATCATAAACGCATCATATCGTGACACCACTGAAGATTTACTGCCCGAGTTTTATCAAAGAAAGCCTCAGAAATCCCCAAAGATGTCATGGGATATAAATGTCTACGTGGTGTTGATCTGGTGCATAGACAAAACCTTTCCATTATTGTTGAGTTATTTTTTGGATAAGAAACGTATTCTTTGGAGAACCGTAGTTTTTTTATTTTCAATTTTGCAATTAAAAAAAAACACAACAGTAGGTGGTTTCAGTTGAAGAAGTATGAAACATAGACTCAAATTAATTGGAATATTTTAGCCTTTCTGGTAACTTTAACACTTTGACTGGACTGTGGTAACTTCCTTTGTTCATTTGTGGGTGAAATTCAAATAGCTGGTCATAGAACAAACCTCTAGAGGAGACATGTCCAGCAAAGGTCTTTAAATGTAAGAAACAAGAAAAAAAAAAGGATCACAGATACAATGAGGACAGATTACAGTTATAGTTTCCTTAATTGTTAAAGGTACTCTTGTCTGATTCTCTAATTGTTTCCTTCCACTGCTGCCTGCTAGCTCTCATCTTCTCTCTGCATGGAAAGTTAGGATGACAGCTTTGTTTGCTGTGCAGAAAACAGCTGCACACTTTGTGCAGGGAGCTCTTACTCATCAGTGAGAGTTTTGTGTTTGTACTTCAGTGTCACTTGTCGCGCTTAGAGTCCAAACCAGCATCCTGTAATTAAAGTCTGCGTGAGGCTCCGGCTCCCTCTGACGCTCGTTGTTTTCAGTCACATATAACTGGTGTGTATTGTAGAAAAAAGCCCGGCGGCTGCGTTTTTCTTGGCCTTTTGTGTGATACATGTGATCTGCATTGTTGAGCTGTGGCAGTTCTCACAATAAAAACATCTGAAGTGACGGCCTCAGCACTGCCCTACATGACCTTATACATTTTTTTTTTATCTGAAGCTGCTTCAGATGAGGGGCTTGGTAGGATGTTCCTAATGATTCATTTCCCTGTCGACCATAAAATATTTTACATTCAGACCAGTCGATTTGTCTAACGGTAAGAGAACACCATTTATCTTTGCAGTCATTGTTTTTTTCTTTTTTCTAAGGTTTATTTTTGGACTCTTTATGCCTTTTCAGAGATAGGACAGTGGATAGAGTCAGAAATCGGGAAGAGAGGCAGTGGGGAATAACATGCAGGAAAAGACATCCACAGGTTGGATTTGAACCTGGGCCAACCGCATGGAGGGCTACATCGAAGGTACATGGGGCATGCTCGCTAAGTAACCACTAGGCTACAAGCGTCCATGCAGTCTTTGTCGTTGTAGTGGAGTTGTACTCCTGTCAATTAAGGGACCACAAAATTCAAAACGAAACAGGCCACTGTGGCACAGAGAGAGTTGATCATACGCAGGATCAAACATCACTGTCCAGACAAAATGAGTAAATCCTGCACTCATTATGCTGCTCTTGTTTCACTTTTTTAAACCGCGTGAAACAGAATTATTGGCCAAAGCTACTTTGGAGTGCGCATCGTGGCCAATCTGCAGCGTCCATGTCTGAGAAATGAAGCCAGCAATGAAGCACCAAATCTGCAGTTCCTCACATGGCCACTTGAGGCTGTTAACTGAAGTGGGTCTATTTCCACAGAGCCCCTTGATAAAATATCCAACTTTACAGCCAAAATGTTTACAGCCTAGTATGAAAGAAGATTTCTGTTTTAAAATCTTATTCCCCAATTCTTTATAATTTTATAGGTTTAATTTTGGACAATAAACATTGTGGTCAGTGCACCAGGTCATTACAAAGTATGAAAATAAAAATAGAAAACTTCTGAATTGATTTTTTCAAGCGTGCTTGGAGGATAAGGGACACACAAAAGCTCTCTCTGAATGTTTGAGCCCTAAAGGAGAAACTGGAGGGTCTCTGAATTTGACGATGGTCCCGTGCTTCTTAAGACCCTCTGAAGCTCAAAAAGGGGGGGGGGAGGCAGACCAAAGGAGAGAGGTGAGAGAGATTACAGAAGCACATGAGACTGAACACATTCTCACCAACTGACTTTAATAAAGGACTAACACAACCAGAAAAGAGTTTTCACAAAACAACATCAGGAGCATTTGGTGTTATTTTGTTTAAAAGACGACCTGCCACACAAACCACAAAGAAACCGACAACAAGATGTATATATGTGTACCTATGTGAGGTCATGTGGTGAGATTTAATCCGTGGTGTATGACTGACCTGTGTGAACCAGGACACCTTATGACCTCTGAGCTGTTATCTTAACGGAGCATTGCTGCATTTTTTTCTCTTTGGGTTGGCAGAATGTTTCACTGAACCCTGACAGTTTTTTTTATATGATATATTTTTATTTTTACAAGTTTTTGTATCCAACTGATGTCTGGACATCCAACTTAATTTTTTTTGGAAGTATAAACTCATGAAAAAAAAAACACACCAGAATCAATCACACACTGAAAGGTGCAAAAATAGAAATCACAGCAGGACGCCTCATTTTCTTATAGTTTCTCTTGTAAATCAGTGCCTTTTTTGTGAACTCAACATACAGCCTACCTCCAGTGATGAAGCAGGAGCTGTTCTTGCTCGTGATTAATAAAAGAGAATCAGGAGAACACAAAGAGTCTATAACTACATTCATAACAGGCGTCTTCCTCTGTGAGATAATTTGGTTTAATTAAGTTAGCAGTTATGCTAATTAGTAAAAAAAAAAAAAAAAAATCAATGCTGGTTATGTAACTCAGCTCCCTGTGTGGAGATGGAGACACATGTGAGTGATCTGAGGAATAAAAGAGGTCACTTTCTCTGCCTCACTCTCCCACGCTCTGTCTCTGTGTTAAACTGACGCGCTAACATGGTTTTTACATGTCGAGTTCATGTTAATAGCAGCTCAGATCGCTGTGATAAAGACTGTGTGGTTATGTAACACTGCTGCCCACATAACCCAGATAACTGCTGTCTTTTTGTGCTGCACAGAGAGAAATATTCCTGCTCACTTCTTCGCTGCTTCAGGAGGGGAACAGATCGTGCGGCAGCTGCAGGATATGATATCATTTACATTAAAGAGGTGCCTGTTCAGAGGCAGCAGGTGGAATAAGTAGATGAGTGGTTTCTCTTTAGGCATAAACGCAGCCATCATTATTTGAGGGAAAGCCTCCTTTAGGAGCTAAAAAGGCTCCACTGATGTGCTCTATGA